TTGTCGTCCGGATAAATAACTTTTAAACCACGTTAAAATATTGTCCTTAAGTCCAAATCGTTGGAGTTTCTTTAAAAGAAGGCTATGATTCACCGTGTCAAACGCTTTAGCAACATCGAAATACAAGATATCTGTTTGTTTCCCTGAATCCAGGTTTTGACTGATGCGGTGAAGAACGGAAATGAGCTGACCTGTGCAAGACTTTCCTCTCAGAAAACCATGCTGTGCGACGGATATCATGTTCTCTATATGACCAATCAGACGGTTGTAAACACAACGTTTAAAACTTTCGCAACAACGCACATGAGGGAAATTGGTCTGTAATTCTCAACAAAACTCTTGATTCCTTTTTTATGAAGCGGGATGATGTTGGACAGTTTCCATTCTGATGGTAGGGAGGCCTGCTTTAAGGATTTGTTGAAGAGACCTTTTAATGATGGTGTGATGGAGTGCGCACATTCTTTTAGTAAGCGGATTGGTATATTATCTGGACCAGATGCTTTACTAGGATCGAGGCAATGAAGAACGTCATATACTTCACTTGGGTCTAAAATAATGTCAGAAATAGTCTCTTCACATACAGGTGTAGTGGGGATTGAAATATCATCACCTTCTGTTAGAAATACTGAGTGGAAGTAGTCATTGAACATTTCTGCAGCTTGTTTTTGACTAGTGGAATCTAAGCGTGGGGAGGAGTCGTTGCCTGTCGCGACGGAAACTTGTTGTGGACTACGGCTGGATTTAGTGGTTGTTTTAAAAAATGACCAGAACAGTTTCGGATTGGATGGTAGAGCTTCGCTTAGGGAACCAAAGAACTTTTCCCGACTTTCTTTGATTAATCTCTTAGATGTACGGCGGAGATCCTTGTATTGTTGTACAAGTGCAGCAGAATTTATTCCGCGACGGATTTTTCGCCGTAGTGTTTCTTTCTTTTTGATCAAAGATTTTATCTCACCGGTCAACCATGGTGGATTGTACCTTCCTTTTACAATCTTTGTTGGAATACATTCGTCAGCTACAGCAAGGAAAGTGTCTCTCCATAAATTCCAGTTCTCGTTGATGTCGGACATCGATGTGGGATCGCTAAATTCAAATTCAATCGATTCAAAAGTACGGTTCATTTTTTCAAAATCCGCACGGTTGTAATCGTAAACCGATCTTTTGAGCTTGTGGGAAGGTGTTGCTGTGCTTTGAAACTCAAAGAGTATGCACTTGTGGTCGGAAAACAAATTGAAATTGGTTGGATCAGTTACTTCAATGTTGTTATCGTTGTGTGGAATGTTTGTCATGATAAGATCAAGAACGTTAGTTTCTCTTGTTGGAGCGAAGATCAATTGACTTAAGTAATGGTCGGATAAGGTGTTGTAGAAAAATCTCTCGGATTCACCGGTTGGGATAACCATGCTTTCAGACCACGAGATTCGCGGGAAGTTGAATCACCAGTCATTATAATTATATCGTAAGTGTCCATGATGTAATCTAAGAACTTTTTAAAGGAGAGAAGCCATTTTGACGAGGAGTCAGGAGCTCTGTAGCAGCAGACAACAAGGATTCGCGCATTGTTAGTGGCGCATTCAACGCAGACGATTTCGATTTTTAGTACGCCACCGCCGGTTTTACATTTACGGTCGACACGAAAAACGTTATAATCTTGACGTAAAATTTCTGCATCAAAATGTTTATTGGACAGCCATGTTTCAGTGAGGAAAACGATGTATATTTGCTCCGAGTATACAAAATCTTGAAGACTTGAATTATTTGATATCATATCTCCATCAGATGTTCTATGTAAACTAAACAAACTTCGCGTATTCCAGCTCAAACAACGAAATGTCTTACGTTCAGTCGCGATGGTGTTCCTTCGATTATTTACGACGGATGAAGAGTGTTCGAGATGCTCAGATGAAATAACTTGTCCAGGATTTAATTCCACATCGTTAGCTAAAAGAATTAACATCAAAGGCAAAGACGATCTCTGCAACAATAACAGACTTATTTGAGTATGGATTGCTGTAAGTGTGCAATTTTGAGAAAATATTTCCAGTTAACCATATACAAATTTATGCCTGCTTGCTTTCGATCTAGAGAAAATTGTAATCAGAACGTTTCCATCAATACATCGTTGCCGCCCAGGATCAAACTGGGAATCTTGCGCGTGTTAGGCGCTAGTGATCACCACTACACTACGGAAACCTGCATGCTGAAAGATGTTCGGCGATGGCTAATGCATTCCCAGATGTGGAAGTTTTTCAAGAAAGAAAACTACTTGATAGATCATGCAAAATCGCCGTGTCGTTACATTCAATTCTTAAATAATTAAAGGCTAACCAGCTAAAGAATTCGAATTTCTTCGCGGTGTTAGCTTGCAGCAGCACAATGACAATGAATTTCGCGTTCTCCTCCACCACTCAATCTTGAGCTCAATCGCTGGAAACAGCTGTCATGTTTATTATCTCATTAGATATTACCTGGTAGCCAGTTCTTGTTGACGATATTTTGAAAGCAAAAAATATTTAATATTTCTCCGCGTGCCTAGCACGTGTAAAGTGATGACTGCAACGCTACAGAAACAAACGCATGCTCGCAACGTTTTCCAAAATTCCCAGTATCAATCGTTCAAAATGGACAGAAAATTTATTCATTTGATCCTGCCGCATCAGGGCATTTGTATTCTTCTTTTGGAACAACAGAAGGAGCACTGTTGTGCGATATGAGTAATGATTGTTGAGTTAGTTCCAGTCGGATATATTTTTCTGTTTTAAATTTAAATTTTTCCCCCCGTTATTAAGAAAATAAAACGACGTTAACGTACAGTAGGCACAAAATTTGCAAGCTGTCAGGATGGCCGAGCGGGCTAAGGCGCCGGCCACAATAGCAAGTTTGCACACCTGCTCCGCTAATGCGCAGTCAGAGGGCGTTCTGGTCCACCAATGTGGGCGTGGGTTCGAATCCCACTCCTGACAGAAAATTTTCAAATTGGAGGTCGTTAAATATATTGGTGCAATTCTTAACATATTTGACGCTATTGCGGAAACAAAAAAATTTATATTTCTCTGGCAAGTGTCCAAATTCCATTCAAAAGACTTATTTGAGCATGGATTGCTGTAAGTGATGCATTTTTGAGAAAATATTTCCAGATAACCATGTGCAAATTTATGCCTGCTTGCTTTCGATCTTGACAAAATTGTAATCAGAACGTTTCCTTCAATCCAGTGTTTCCGCCCAGGATCGAACTGGGGATCTTGTGCGCGACGACCACTACAATACGGAAACCTGCATGCCAAAAAATGTTCGGCGATGGCTAATTCATTCACAGATGTGAAAGTTTTTCTAGAAAGAAACCTACTTGATAGATCATGCAAACTCGCCGTATCGTTACATTCAATTCTTAAATAATTAAACGCTAACCAGCTAAACAATTTCTTCGCGGTCTTAGTTTGCAGCAGCACAATGACAATGAATCTCGCGTTCTCCCCCACCACTCAATCTTGAGCTCAATCGCTGGAAACAGCTGTCTTGTTTATTATCTCATTAGATATTACCTGGTAGCCAGTTCTTGTTGACGATATTTCGAAACCAAAGAATATTTAATATTTCTCCGCGTGCCTTGCACGTGTAAAGTGATTCCTGCAACGCTACAGAAACAAACGCCTGCTCGCAATGTTTTGCAAATTTCCCCCGCATCAATCGTTCAAAATGGACAGAAAATTTATTCATTTGCTCCTGCCGCATCACGGCATTTGTATTCTTCCTTTGCGACAACAGAAGGAGCACTGTTGTGCGATATGAGTAATGATTGTTGAGTTAGTTCCAGTCGGATATATTTTTCTGTTTTAAATATAATTTTTTTCCCCGTTATTAAGAAAATAAAATGCCGTTAGTGTACAGTAGGCACAAAGTTTGCAAGCTGTCAGGATGGCCGAGCGGTCTAAGGCGACAGACACAATTGCAAGTTTGCACACCTGCTCCGCTAATGCGCAGTCAGAGGGCGTTCTGGTCCACCAATGTGGGCGTGGGTTCGAATCCCACTCCTGACAGAAAATTTTCAAATTCGAGGTCGTTAAATATATTGGTGCAATTGTTAACATATTTGACGCTATTACGGAAACAACAAAATTAATATTTTTTGGGCAAGTGTCCGAATTCCATTCAAAAGGTTTATTTGAGCATGGATTGCTGTAAGTGCGCATTTTTAAGAGAATATTTCCAGTTAGCCATGCGCAAACTTATGCCTGCTTGCTTTCGATCTAGCGAAAATTGTAATCAGAACGTTTCCATCAATACATCGTTGCCGCCCAGGATCGAACTGGGAATCTTGCGCGTGTTAGGCGCTAGTGATGACCACTACACTACGGAAACTTGCATGCTGAAAGATGTTCGGCGATGGCTAATTCATTCCCGGATGTGGAAGTTTTTGAAGAATGAAAACTACTTGATAGATCATGTCAAATCGCCCTATCGTTACATTCAATTCTTAAATAATTAAACCCTAACCAGCTAAAGAATTTCTTCGCGGTCTTAGTTTGCAGCAGCACAATGACAATGAATATCGCGTTCTCCCCCACCACTCAATCTTGAGCTCAATCGCTGGAAGCAGCTGTCATGTTTATTATCTCATTAGATATTACCTGGTAGCCAGTTCTTGTTGACGATATTTCGTAAGCAAAAAATATTTAATATTTCTCCGCGTGCCGTCCACGTGTAAAGTGATGACTGCAATGCTACTGAAACAAACGCCTGCTCGCAACGTTTTCCAAACTTCCCCGGTATCAATCGTTCAAAATGGACAGAAAATTTATTCATTTGATCCTGCCGCATCACGGCATTTGGATTCTTCTTTTGGGACAACAGCAGGAGCACTGTTGTACGATATGAGTAATGATTGTTGAGTTAGTTCCAGTCGGATGTATTTCTCTGTTTTAAATTGAAATATTTTTTCCCGTTATTAATTAAGAAAACAAAATGACGTTAATGTACAGAAGGCACAAAGTTGGCAAGCAGTCAGGATGGCCGAGCGGTCTAAGGCGCCGGACACAATTGCAAGTTTGCACACCTGCTTCGCTAATGCGCAGTCAGAGGGTGTTCTGGTCCACCAATTTTGGGCTTGGGTTCGAATCCCACTCCTGACAGAAAATTTTCAAACTGGAGGTCGTTAAATATATTGGTGTAATTGTTAACATATTTACGCTATTACGGAAACAAAAAAAATAATATTTCTCTGGCAAGTGTCCAAATTCCATTCAAAAGGCTTTTTAGAGCAGGATTGCTGTAAGTGATGCATTTTTGGGAAAATATTTCCAGTTAACCATGTGCAAATTTATGCCTGCTTGCTTTCGATCTAGAGAAAATTGTAATCAGAACGTTTCGTTCAATCCATTGTTTCCGCCCAGGATCGAACAGGGGATCTTGTACGCGGCGACCACTACAATAAGGAAACCTGCATGCCGAACGATGTTCGGCGATGGCTAATTCATTCCCAGGTGTGGATGTTTTTCAAGAAAGAAAACTACTTGATAGATCATGCAAAATCGCCGTATCGTTACATTCAATTCTTAAATAATTAAAGGTTAACCAGCTAAACAATTTCTTCGCGGTGTTAGTTTGCAGCAGCACAATGACAATGAATCTCGCGTTCTCCCCCACCACTCAATCTTGAACTCAATCGCTGGAAACAGCTGTCATGTTTATTACCTCATTAGATATTACCTGGTAGCCAGTTCTTGTTGACGATATTTCGAAACCAAAGAATATTTCATATTTCTCCGCGTGCCTTGCACGTGTAAAGTGATGACTGCAACGCTACAGAAACAAACGCCTGCTCGCAATGTTTTGCAAACTTCCCCCGTATCAATCGTTCAAAATAGACAGAAAATTTATTCATTTGATCCTGCCGCATCACGGCATTTGTATTCTTCCTTTGCGACAACAGAAGGAGCACTGTTGTGCGATATGAGTAATGGTTGTTGAGTTAGTTCCAGTCGGATATATTTTTCTGTTTTAAATATTTATTTTTTTTCCCGTTATTAAGAAAATAAAATGACGTTAATATACAGTAGGCACAAAGTTTGCAAGCTGTCAGGATGGCCGAGCGGTCTAAGGCGCCGGACACAATTGCAAGTTTGTACACCTGCTCCGCTAATGCGCAGTCAGAGGGCGTTCTGGTCCACCAATGTGGGCGTCGGTTCGAATCCCACTCCTGACAGAAAATTTTAAAATTGGAGGTCGTTGAATATATTGGTGCAATTGTTAACATATTTGACGCTATTACGGAAACAAAAAAATTTCTATTTCTCTGGCAAGTGTCCAAATTCCATTCAAAAGACTAATTTGAGCATGGATTGCTGTCAGTGATGTATTTTTGTTATGATACTCAATTAAAGCGTCTTGAAAGGGAACTGCATGATGAACAAGATAAAACCAAGCAACTTGAATCTGAGCTAACGGTTGCCGAAACAAAAATCTTACAACTCGAACAGGCACTAAACCTACACGAGTTAGAACAAAAGAGTAAAGAAACTGACAATGGGCTTTGTCATGATCATTCCTGCATTATTATGGAGACACTCAGCACTAATTGCATTAGAAATCAACACGCGCCTCCGACTCAAGAGAATACCTGTACTAATAAATATATCACATCTCAAGAATTACTACCTAACCCTCGAATACCACCAAAACAAGTTGATAAGCAGGAGCCTCAAAAACATGCTGGTCAAGTAAGTCAATTCCCAAAATATACGGAAATTTCGGACAAGAACAGCAACAACAATGCAAAACGACACAAACCATCACAACATGAATTAACTAACTGTTATGCCATCCCGACTCGCGTTACCCATAGAACATCATCAAAGAAATCGACGTGGCGACGAAATAAACATGGCGCTAGAATCAACCAGACTGAGGAGGGTTTTCGCAAGGACAAATGGAAAGCCAATATGAGGTTTTTCCAGTATTATTACTAGAACATGATTTTTCCCTACCAGGTCGCCCTACTTCAATTCATCGCGGACAACGTTATTTAAATAATATTATTCAAATTAACATTAATAAAACTGTTATTTACAATGCTAATGACTATTTCTACGTTCCGAAACTACTATTGACAAATACGATGTCATTAGCTCCCAAAATTGATGAAGTGAGTTGTTTTGTCACAGAAAAGAGTCCTGACCTTGCCTGTATAACGGAAACATGGTTAAACGACCGTATGTCAGATTCCTGCCTCGATATTCCAGGTTACAATTTTGTTCATAAAAACCGCAGTGTGGGTTCCCACGGAGGGGTTGTGGTGTACATCAGGAACACGATATTTTATAAGCCTCTGAATCATCTCCACCATACAGATTACGAAGTTCTGTGGGTCTATTTTCGTCCAAGCAGACTTCCTCGCGGGTTTTCCTGCTTGATACTTGGTGTCGTTTACCATCCACCTAATGCTAATGATGATGAAATGCTCCAATTTCTCTCCACATCACTGATTACTATTGAAAGCACCTATCCTGGCTGTGGATTTATTCTTGCAGGCGACTTTAATCGGTTAAAATGCAATCGAATATTAACACAGTTCAGTTGCAAACAGATTGTTAACGTTTCCACAAGGGCCAACCAGACTTTGGATCTAATAATAACCAACTTACATTCGTTTTATGATAAGAACTCTGTCGAAAAATTTCCGCCATTTGGTCTTTCAGATCACAATGTTGTGATTGTCAATGCTTGCAAAAGAGAACCCAAGTCATGCAGTAGAAGAATTATCTCTAGGAGAGATTTACGATCTAGTAAAAGGCATGAGCTTGGAAGATACCTTACATCTATCGATTGGTCCTCTCTGAATCATTTTGACACATGCGAAATAAAACTCCAGTATTTCGAAGAGTTAGTACGTCTCGGTATTAGCACCATTATGCCAATAAAGAAAACGGCTTTGCATGTACACGACCCTCCATGGATTACTACAGAATTTAAAGAGCTTATCAGGAAGCGTCAAGCTGCCTTCTGCAGTGGAAATACCTTTCAGTTCAAGTATTACCGGAATCGGGTTAACCGCGAGCGAAAGACATGCCGGGCAAAATTCTACTCTTCAAAAGTAAAGAATCTTAAATCGACCAAACCGAAGAGACGGTGGAAGGAGGTGAAGCAGATTGCTGGTATGGTACCTACAACCGGCTCCGATGACCTATGTAGTCAACTTCATTTAGACGATATCGAGAATATGCAACGTCCTGACATTGCGATTTAATTAATAACGCCTTTTTGGAGCCCATGAACTCCTTCAATCCACTGTCAACCCTTCCCCCCTTTGATAATTATTCCCCTTTTCAAGTAAACGAATTGGAAGTCTTTCATTTATTGAAAGCAATTAATCGTGGAAAGGCGTCAGGTCCTGACGAAATTCCCAATTGGGCTCTTAAGGAATATGCTGAAATCCTTGCACAGCCAGTATGCGCTGTGCTAAACAGCAGCCATGCCGAACAACAACTACCTAAATCTTGGAAGCTTGCCAACATTGTGCCCCTCATAAAAACTAAGCCCGTTAGCGACATTTGTAAGCAGTTACGACCAATTTCACTTACTGCCGCTATTTCGAAAATCGCTGAGGACTGTGTTGTTAAAAAATACATTGCTCCAGCTATCATGAGTATAATCGATCCAAGTCAATATGGAGTATTACCAAGAAGTTCAACTACTCTCGCTGTTATATCTATGATCCATGAATGGTCGCAAGCTACTGATGGCACTGGCTCTGCTGTCAGAGTCATCCTGTTCGATTATAGAAAAACATTCGACCTTATCGATCATGCTTTACTGGCTGATAAAATTTCCAATTTAGCTATTCCACGTGCGGTTGCTCGCTGGACAATCGATTTTTTGATGAATCGAAAGCAGAGAGTGAAATTATCCAATGACTGTTATTCGGAGTGGGGTGATGTACTCTCTGGT